GCACTCTGTACGAGACCCTTCACTGGCTTCAGCCTCACAACAGACGTCACTGGATGCACTTATTATTTAAATGTATTCATTTTAGTTGTCCACAATATTTTAAACAGTTTTTTGTCCCTGTCTCTACACCTTTTTCACTCCGAAGCTCAGATTTTCTGTTCCAAGAGTTTGTAGAGAAGTTGGTCGCAGATCATTTCAGTTCAAGGCTCCCTCAGACTGGAATAAACTCCCCACATCCATATGGTCCATTCTGTCTTTTGGTTTATTTAAGTTTGAATTATTTAGGTTTCTTGAAACTCCATTTTTATGTCACTAATGTTCTGTGTTCTGTGTCATTATTGTTAATAGTTTTACTTTGTCCTTTTATAAATGTTTAATTTTTGCAGAGGGGAGGAGTGGGGTGCGAAGGAGCATTTGTTTCTTTTTGTCTTTTTTTTTTTTTGTTTAATTAACTCTTCTCATGTTTAATTTGCTGTCAATCTTTATTGTGTATGTGTTTTTGTTTATATGTTTGTATTTATGTTTAGGACCCCCCCGAAAATGAGATGACTCATCTCAAGGGGGTTTCCTTAATAAACTTAAACATATATCATCTTTGAAAAAATTACGGAAAGAAAAATATAACACATGAGTTGTTTTGACCTTCGAGGATGAAATGTGTATTTTTTCTCATAATGATTCTCCTTTCACATTGCATAGTCGTTGTTCATGAGGCTGATTTTGACACGAGCTCCTACAGAAATGCTGATGCCTTTGATAAGCGTTTCGCCATAAGAGCTTTGAGTAAACCGTTGTGCTCGCTTCAAAGCTGCAGTTCAACCACATGAATCAATGATCATTTATTTCAGCTCTACATGCCAAAGAACGCTTTCTTTAAGACATAACGTTGCTTAAAGATTTTCCGCAACTACATAAGCCCCATATATGTCAATCAATACATGTAGGCTGGCTGCACACATCATCTGTGCACAGAAGAACGCACAATGTCTCTGCAAACAAAGACGACGACTGAATAGAGTATTTTGAATTATATATTTGAGGCGGTGTTGTAAAATATTAGGGTTTTTTGTTATTCTAATTTGAACGTCTAATGCAGGGGCAATAGTGGCTCAGTTCTCAGTGATCTCCGGGCCTAATGATCATGGGCTCGATTCTACCACGAAACTAACCCTAACCCTAACCCTACGGTTTGTGTCCTTGGGCAAGACACTTTACACCACTCCGCCTGAAACCCTCGCAGAAAGACCAAGGCTGTGACGGAGCAGCTATCCTCCTGTAGACCCTGCAAGAGGACCAGTGAGGGGCTGAAGCTATGATGACTGGGTGGAAGCTCTTATTGTCACAACGAACCCAGAGATGGACTAATAAAGGGTGACACGTTGGCCAAGTGGAGTTTACATGTTTTCTCCAGGTGCTCCGGTTTCACCTAACACTAAAAACATACACAATAGGTCTGAATGTAATGAGTGAGTAAACGGATGGTGTTGGCTTAAAAGCGTGTGTTTGGCGTCTTGATATTTTTTTGTAATCACGGTATGCGGAAAGACTGGAACTATATCTGAACTCTAAACATTGCAAAGCGCTTTGGGTGACCTTGGTCTTTAAAATGTAGCAAATAAATAAAATATGACTTACTTACTACTACTAAATGGGATGTATAACATTCCATGCATGCACCTCCCTCAGATAAAAAGGAAATGGAAAAAGGGTTTCACTAAATCCAACAAAAGACAGCATGTTTATCAAAACGAGAAAAGACAATGTATTGATTTCTGTTGCTCTTCGACCTTTAAGACACAACTGGTCCAAAACACCACCACATTTGTAAAACTGTAGTCTCTCATTCTCTTTTCAGGATGTATAAAGTGGAACATTGTAATCGACATCACAGATTCTCGTTGGATCTGAGCCGTCTCTGGGACTGGGCTGCTTCATTTTCGCAGTGGGGGATATTATTGTTAGGAAAAATGTTGATTATTGATTTACAAACTGGAAATCACCAGGACCCTTTACAAAGACTCTGAGGGAGGGCGCATCTTTTGCAATCCATTTTTACAGAATAGGTTTTGGTAAATGAAATAAACTGGAGAAATATGTTAAAAAGTTAGAAAACATAAGCTTGTACTTTACTTGTTTATTTCTTGAGAGTCTTGCCACCACTGGTCTGTCTGGCTTTTAAAAATGAAGTCATGAAGCAAAAAAATCTGGTCCCATCCATAAACCTGCCGCTCAGATCAATGTTTACTGCCCCACAGATGTTTGTATCTACACTGGGAGTGCTGCTCCGAGTTTGATCTCTTACTTAATGCTATGACACTGCAGGAAAATAAAGGTACAGTATATGTGCGTTCATGGCGTTGGACCAATTCTGATACTTCTGTGCTAGTATTTCTCACTCTACTAAAATAATTCTACACTTGCTTTTGATACAACAGAAAAATTGACTCCTGATATTGATTATTATACAACATATTTTGAATTCAACCTGTAATGTGATCTCTTAAAGAACTGAGACAGATCCGGATAAGACCAAATCAATTTCTGCTAGTGGTGAATCTAGAAAGCATGGGACAATATTTAATAAAAAGGGACTGTCCTCCTGCTGGGATTTTGAGGCGCACAGGGACTAGCCTCTTGCTGAGATTATGAGGAGCACAGGGACTGGCCTTCAACTGGGACTATGAGGAGCACAGGGACTGGCCTTCAGCTGGGACTATGAGGAACACAGGGACTGGCCTTCAGCGGGGACTATGAGGAGCACAGGGACTGGCCTTCAGCTGGGACTATGAGGAACACAGGGACTGGCCTTCAGCGGGGACTATGAGGAGCACAAGGACAGGCCTTCTACTAACTGAAGAGCACAGGGACTGGCCTCATGCTGGGATTATGAGGCACACAGGGACTAGCCTCCTGCTAGGACTATGAGGCGCACAGGGACTAGCCTCCTGCTGGGACTATGAGGCGCACAGGGACTGGCCTCCAGCTGGTTCCCAGAGTCATGAGGAATAAACATGGGGAGGCAGGATTTAGGATTAATGCAGCTAAAAACGGGGACAGTCTTGCTGAAAATGTGAGACAGGCTCCTTTTCTGATAATGTTCGAGTTATGTATTTTGTGTATTTATGTTTTTAATGTGTGATTTTTATGCATTCCTGTGTATGTTTATTTGTGCTATACAAATAAAACTTGACTTGCTGTGTTAAAGGATCATTAATTATTAGAATACAGTGAGCGCTCGTTTGAACTACGTTTTCAGCACTGAGAAGTTTCAACTTCAACCAGTCATTTTAAATGTAAATAGGACGTTATGAGAGTTTCAATGCATTGATTGTTGTGTCTGTCCTAAGAGGGAGAGATTATACTGTAGATCTATATTGAAAATGACTTTTGGATGCGGTCCGATTTATTTGCATTATGTTATTGATGAACGTGAATATTGTATATGCATTCATTATTATTTCAATTATTATGGATTTCTTTGTATTTAATGTTTTTCCTGTTAAATAGGCCTGCCAGCTTGTGTCATATAACAAATAATAATCATCAATGTACTGTTGTTTATCACTGCACTATAATCACATTTTTCAGAATCACCATCCAAGTTCCTCCTCTGTGCTTTCCAGTGTGCCCTATGACCACAAACCACAGTGTGTCACGCTTGATGAAAAGTGCTCTCCTCCTTGCTGGTGCTGCTGCTGCTGCTGCTACTGCCTGCCCTGGTCAGCCATAATGCCCACTCTGCTCACGGTATCAGCCCTGGAGCTCTCAGCATTTCGAAGTGCCACATGTAAGACCCACAGTTTCCCTCAATAGCCCCTTTTGATGAAGCTGTCTCTTCTGAAACTGCACTGCCAGCCCACAAACCTGTTATTTCCCAGCTGTTGTGTGCGCGCTCGAGAGACCTCTCCAGTCCCTTGATGTGCACGTATCCCCAGTCTATAGATTCCTGTTTTCTATAAGAGCAGTCACAGGCGCATTCCCATCATGACAAAGTAGCTGACAGGTGAATGAGGCGTTCACACGGGTCAGAGAGTCTGAAGAAATCACTGCGTGCGTCGCGGCTTTACACAGAGCTGGAAGACAGTTCAGATTTAGTTCAGGAAATATGTGGCGCAAGTCTTCACATAATTGTCTGCTGTCTGTGATAAGCCCTTTCAAATCAATACAATAAATGATCGCCTGAAGAGTCAAGTGTAGCCAATATAAAAAAAAACGCACGAATGTACAGTTTGGGCACCACTTAATTATTGATGCTGTGCGGTCCACTAACAAGCTTTGTATCCTATCCCATGCGTCACGACTTGGACGCACTGCAACTGACCATCCCGCGCCCCCCTGTCCTGTGTTATAATAAAGCACCATCACTGTGCAATGTTGGCCGAGGTGAAAGGACAGGGGAAAAAACACAAGTGGAACTCACCCACTCAGCCCGGTTGTGGATCCCCCGACGTGTGACTGCAATCTGTGTGTCCGAGTATCCAGATAGAAACGTGGAGAAAAACTAGGTAGACAGCTGAACGGGAGCAAAGACTTCCCACTGCTTCTCCTTCTCTTCTTCCTTCCTTCCTTCCTTCCTTCACTTCACTCTTCGCTCAGTGATCTGTGTGAGGCTGCTGTGCTATTAATCCAGGCATTGTCTCCATCATCATCAACGCAATTACGATCGGGAAAGATAGCGTTTTGAAGTTCAGATACGCTTTCAGTTTCCTGAAAATAAAATCCAGGCTCAGTCCAGAGAAGGAAAAAAAACAAGAAGAAGCGAAGTAAAGTTTACAGATACAAGATGGTTGAGGAATTACAAGCAAAGACGTAAATATGCCCCCAACGTTCTCCCTCCAAAACTGCTTTTAAAACATTGGATCGCACCGCTGCACCTGCGTATACCAAGTGGTTACGCACGGCTGGAACAGTTGCGCCAACGCCAAAACACTGTCAATACGCGCTTTTTTCCCCTCCTCTCACATAGTTTATCCTTCCATCACTCCGGGGTAAACGCCTGGATGCTCTTCCCCCCCAAAACGGCTCAGCACAGGCGTCTATTTGAGGGCGGCTGTCTTGGCTTTTTCCAACACGCGCTGCCTCTCTCTTTCTTTCCAACAAGCGATGTCCACACGCTCCTTGGTGGATGCAACCAACCCCGCCCCTGTCCAACTGCGATTGGAGGAAAAAGCGCGGAGAAAACTGCGAGGAGCGAAAAGAGAGAAAGAGAGAGGGCAGTAGGAGGGGGGGAAAGACCGTACAGCAGCCGAGAGATGAGGAAAAATGAAGATGAGGGGCGCGCAGAGGGACGAGAAGTTAAAAGGAGAGTCATCAGGAGGAGGGAGCACTGCGCGGGGGGTCTGGGGATCAAGGTGGAGGTGTTATGTGTCGGAGCCCAAAGGGACGCAGCTAGGGCTAATGAAGGAAAAATGCTCTCATCCCCGTGTAATGGCACTCATTAAGATTTGGTTGCCTCAAATGACTTAGATTCCCTGTGAATTCTATGCAGGCGTTTTGTTAAGCAGGTAAATGATCAGTGTAGACCTTTTAGAGGTAATGGGGGAAAAGAAATAGATAAAAGGAAGGGCACATGTGTAATAATAATAATAATTTGTTTGTATTTTATGTTATCTTATTAATGAATGCATGTTTGACCATGGCTCACAAACATGTGGAGATAATTAGTATCTCTCTGTAGGCAGTTGAAATTTTAGTCAAAAGGTACTACGCTGATGAACACTGCCGACCTGACATGTCATGCATCTGTGCAATAATGTGCAATAATGTCAGAATGTGAAAGGCATGTGTCTACTGTCACTTTGCTTAGCCTTAGTCACTTTTATCCCTGAGTCTCGTGCAGCTAACATGTACAGCAGTTTCATCACTGTGAATATTCCAACCCTCAGAGCTAATGATTTATACACAAGTCTAGTGCAAGAATATTGAAGTCATTTCAGATGTATCTATAAACGTGTACGTGTATATTTCTTGAGTAGGGTTATACCTTATATGTTCATACATTTATGCTTTGTTTCTTTATTCAGCTGAAGATAGAGAATGGAGTTGTGTTATTCTTAATATTTAGTATGTTAGTTGGTGTTTATTTCAGACTTACAATTTCATACACACGTAACAGAAGAAAGAAACAGACGTTCAATTTGAAAAATACAGTTTGAGGAGGGGTTGGACGAAGCAAATGCCTATACAGGCCCTCTCGCTCACACAATACTAACACGCACAACCACACACTCACACACACACATACAAACACGCACACAAAAACAAATGATCTTTAGTTGTGTGCTCCTCATTCTGCTCTGTAACTTGTGATGCAACACTGACATTTCCCCACTATGGGACGAACAAAGGATCTCTTCATCTTAATGTTGCACTTACCCACTTAAGACCCATGTTCTTTGATCCATGTTGAAATGTTGGGTTGACCCGGGACAACAGTGGGAGTGCCGGCCTTGTTTTAGAGCCGTGCTGAAAAATGGGTTAAGGAGGCGTCTTCTAAAGTCAGACCAGAGGGAATCTCATTGCAATGGATTAGGGAAAACTTATTATCGACAAGGAACAATATAAACATTTTCAAACATGGTATATTTTTTACTTATACCAGAACGAGTAGCAGAAGCTTCACTCTTGTTACACAGCTTTTTCATTATATCATTGTCTCTTGTGTATTTGTGCGCTTAACCCACACGTAGAGCTTTGTAACGGTTTGGTTTTATTGCTCTCTAAATTGTAGCAATATTTGGTCATAGTGTTCCCATTGAAGAAGCCATGGCACTTGCAAGGCGGGTAAAAGGGTCTCAACAGAACAGAAAGTATGGCTCTGTCTGGAGGGCGACCTGGGGTTTTTGGGAAAACCAGTGGAAATGTCCCTAAAGTCAACTCAGAAGGGAGTGGAAGTGAGAAGTTAAGATATTTATCAACAGATTATTTTTCAATCCACATTTAAAAAAAATTCTTTTAATATTGATACACAACCTTATCTTTGTTTCTTGGAGTCGGCCTGCATTTTAAGTCTTGCTTAAAAACAATAAATGTGCTGAATTTTGCATAATATATCCTGTATTGAACATGTTTGCACACTTCTTTCTTTTGCACAATCTTGAGTGATTCTATCCATGTCAGATGTGACATGTAAATTTGTCCTGTGTGAGATCAATAAAGTCTATATTCTCTTGTCTTATCTTAATACACAGATTTCTTGGGGGGAGTCTTGTATTGCTTTTGAAAGAATGGCTTGTTTCAGTGACTTTGTTTTTTGATGGGACAGAAATACAGGAAGTAATGCCTCTTAAATTGAGTTCCAGATGTCAATTATTTCAAGAAGAGAGAAGGCGCCGTCTCATATTTCTCATATTGCTACTACTTAATACTATAATTTCAAGTATAAATTTGTCGATCTATGTCTCTTGTTTACTTTGCAGCCCACGTCCAACCAGGAAGTCAGGAAAACCAACCCAACCATACCTTATAAACAAAGGGAAAAGATTTTTAAGCCAAATCTGTGTTTAAGTGAAATTACAAGTCGAATCTTACCGCATATTTGGGTTTGAATAAATATCATAATGGTTTTGGAGTAAATTTCTGACTTTGGTTTCGTTGTTTTGAAAAGCTCTGAAAAGAATTGAGATGAATGTTTGAGCCCACACCAGCAGCAAGCTATAGTACTACACAATATCATTTAAAATCCTTTGTTTTCTTCATCAAAGGCTGCTGACAAAAGCCTATTTTATCAAAACTTGCTACATTAAATATGTGTGTGCTGTATTGCAACGTTTCCTGGCAGTTAGTTGCATGTTTCTTTGCTCCAGTCCCGTCTGGTCTCTGTGATTCTCTCTTAAATCTGGTGCGTGTCAGCTGAGAAAGGCTCTAGTCTCCACACTCCCGTCTGTGATGAATAAGTAAGTGGTGAAGGGGATGCTGGTGCATGCTGAATCCACTGCCCACAGGCGTTCAAAGAGGAGCAGCCACAGTACCAGGCACATCTGTAATGGGAGCAAATGAGGTACGTCGGATATTACATTTGTCTTGGAGTGAATTCAGCTTGAGCCAAAGCAAAATCACTTGTGTGTTTGTCTTTTTGATGAATCCACAATGGTTCAATCGGACTCAAACTTCAAATATCATATGGAGTGAGTAATTAGAGTAGTCATACAATTCATGTGTTTTTGTTATAAGACTGTTGTGCCATCATGTTAAGTAAAGAGTGTACAAACTGTCAGAGAAAACAGATTTTTATTTCTGCAAATAAGTACGGTACCTATCTACAGTACAGTATCTACTGTATCTATTGTTAAATGCAGAAGAAATTTGTTTATCCAATGAATTAGCTGATTTACCCTTGAAGCTGCGATGATGATGAGAGCATGTTTAGTTATTTCAAATGTCCTCAGCCAATGCTCTGACATCCCCAAGCCAATCAAGTAATTCAAACATAATAACTTAAATTTTTAAAGGACTGTATTTACTATCTGCGTCATCAGAATGTGCGCATTGAAGCAACGGAAGCAGCCCGTTTACCTGTGTAGTTTTCACCAGCAGGACACAGCTCAGCGCAGCAAAATACCAGGTTGCTGCATTTCTGGCTGTTCTAACTCGTAATACTGAACTGGGACTTATAGTACGTTCTGGCAAACCAAGGGACTCTTGATCATCTCAGAACAACAGAAGCAACAGAAGCCTGATTTCAATATACCAACAACAACAATATCTTAACAACTACTGTAGAAGGATCGGACCGAAGACACCAGAGTGAATGCGGCTGCGATCACCATCTTACATCAAGTATGTGTGGTTCCTAAGTTTCCAAGATGTGCAAGCAGCCGCCATTGTTCCCAAACACTGGACGGGTGTTTACTTTGAACTCCTACTAGGTTTATTAAGTCATTATTATAATTACAACCCGACTTTTGTTGCCGGAGTCTCACTGCATGTGACGCATATACTGTAGCTCCTAAGCCCTAGGCACTGGTCACAGGTGGTATTTTTCAGTTTGAGTTTTGTTTATCTGAAACAATTCATATACAATGAGATGCTGAATTTCATCTAAGAATCTGGCAATCCAAATGAGAGCCAGATTACACTGAAAAGCTAAATACTGTTTTGTGGATATCAAGTCCATTGTATTTTTAATAAGGATATATGTGTTTTTGTTGTCACTTTGAGGTTTTGTTTTTGTGACAATTTGCATTTGTTGAGAAAGCAGTCAGTTTAGTGTTTACTTTATCCGTGTATTAATGTAAAGATGTAGTCTAGGTTTTGTTTTGGTACCTTTGAATAACCCCCTTATGTCCTGTATTGTGTCCTTTTGACTTATATCATCTTATCATTTACATTCCTGTTATTAAATACTGAGTTTTTTTGTTTCCTCCCTTACCCTAGCAGAGCTGGGTTGTAACAATATACACCGCCCAGAAAAGGACAAATATGGTTTTCACACTGTTTAAATGTGTAGACGTACAGTAACTTATTATTTAAAAAAAATTAAATGAAGCAGTCCCTTTAAAACTTGACTATTTATCAGCAGGAATATAGTAGTAGTAGTAGTAGTAGTTTATTTTCTTCGGCCAATATGTATACACACGGATACAGAGATCACATGTACTTTTTACATCAAGAAAATAAAAAAAATAACCAAAATGTGTTCATAAGGGACCTTATGCGAAATATGAGATTTGAATAGATTTGTGTTGGCCCTATAGCCTTGATTGATGACTTCTGAATTTCCATTTCAGACCAGCTGAAACCAAATATATGCATTCCTTAGTCCACTATCTGGTAATTGATTATATATAGAAATGACCATGGCTAAAGCAGCAGGTAATTCTACATACATTCACGCTCAATTCACACTCAATATTTAAAATACAGAGTGTATATTGGGCAGAACTGCTGCACAACAGACTAACAGTGTCTTGAATGGAGCATGTAAGTAAGTAAGTAAGTAAGTATTTATTTATATACCGCCTTTTCACTGCAGATTTGAGTCTCAAAGCGGTTTACAATTGTTAATTTTTTGGGCATTTGTCTCTCACTCCACACAGATGGGAGCGGGGAGAGTACAGGAGGCGCATGCTAGAACTATTGGACATATTTTTAGGGGTAGGGGAAACCGGAGTACCCGGAGGAAACCTACGCAGACACGGGGAGAACATGCAAACTCCACTCAGAAAGGCCCTGGTCCGACCGGGATTCGAACCCAGGACCTTCTTGCTGAGAGGCGAGAGTGCTATCCACTCAGCCACCGTGCCACCGCATGGCAGTTAATCACCAAAATAAGGCCCAAACAACTCAAGTAAAAAGCTGCAAGTTAAATCTACAGCTCAGAGGCGGCAATAAGGAAATAAGTCCCAATGTGAACAATGCCTGTAATAGGAGCAAATGACCAGGGCCGGAAATTGCATTTGTTGTGGTGCAAAACGGCTCAGGATTAAGGCAGACAAAAATG